GGGGGGGGGGGGGCATTATTTGACACAGTACAGTATTACTCATTTATCCTGCTGTTAGAAGTGAATATACTTGAGATCACACAGCTTTGTAGTTAAACTACTTGAAGAACTGCATAGATTTCCCCCTTTCCTCTAAATTAAAAGCAGATCAGCCAAGAAACTTTCTTTTAAACCTTTGTCCACAGGGACACATTTGATTTGCTTATTTCAGAGGACAACTGCTCTCTTCTTGGGCTTCTCTAGCTCTGTCTCAGACTGGCCACTGTCTGTTGAGGCGTTCTAGGGAGCCCTGCTGTCTACCAGAGTTTGGATCCAAGTTTTTGATATTTTTTCTTTTTTTTTTTTTAATTTTTAAAATGTTTATTATTTTTTTAATATTTATTTGAGAGAGAGAGACAGACAGACAGAGTGTGAGTGGGGGATGGGCAGAGAGAGAGGGAGACACAGAATCCAAAGCAGACTCAGGCTCTGAGCTGTCAGCACAGAACCTGATGCGGGGCTCAAACCCATGAAGCGCGAGATCATGACCTGAGCCGAAGTCAGACGCTTAACTGACTGAGTCACCCAGGTGCCCCTAATGTTTGTTTATTTTTGAGTGACAGAGAGAGAAGGAGAGAGAATGAGCAGGGGAGAGGCAGAGAGAGAGGGAGACACAGAATCTGAAGCAGGCTCCAGGCTCTGAGCTGTCAGCACAGAGCCCATTGTAGGGCTTGAACCCACAAGCTGTGAGATCATGACCTGAGCCTAATTCAGATGTTCAACTGACTGAGCCACCCAGGCACCCCCTTCTTTTCTTTAAAAAGAATTTTGTTTTAAATTTTTTTTAGAGAGTGCAAGCAGGGGAGAGGGGCAGAGAGAGAGAGAGAGAGAGAATGGGAATCTTAAGCAGTCTCCACGTTCAGTGCAGAACTCAATTTGATGCGGGGCTTGATCTCATGACCCTGGGATCATGACCTGAGCCAAAATCAAGAGTCAGATATCTGACTGCGCCAGCCAGGTGCCCCGATATTTTTTCTAAAAGTGGCTCTGATCTATGAAGTGATCTACCTCTCTGAATTATATTTGAGCCTCAGTCCTGGAGACTTTTTATAAATGGTCTTTTTGGAACCGTCAGTGATTTATAGATTCTTCTCTTGATGGAGGGAAACTTCCTTTTAATGAATTGCCGGGAAATAATCAGGAGCATTTTGAAGCACCTAATGTGCACAGGACTCTTTTCATAGTAGTGGGCTTGGAGAAAAAGAAATGGAAGACATCTTTTATTCTGAGATGCTTTGAATATAAATTCACACACACACACACACACACACACACACAAATACTTCTGAGGACAGGCCCAAAGACTGTGGTTAAATACCATGAAAGAGGTAGGAACTGAATGCTTTAGAGATTCAAAGGAGAGATCACTTCCAGCTAGGGTTAGAGCCGGGTTAGGTTTCAGGAAGGAGGCTGCCTTTGAGCTGGGTCTTGAAGGTCTAGGATTTTGATAGGTGACATTAGAATGGAGGCTGTTACAGGTAGAGGAGAAGGATGTGTGTGGGGATATACATGTTCAGGAAATAGTTCACATTAATTGGAGTATAGAGAAGACGTAGCCTGATATTCCCCATTTCAGGAGATTGGGAACACAATCCCTTCAGCTACTTAACCCAGAGAGAAACAGCTTCTCTCATATTCATATCCAGCAGTCAGTACTCCTGTCCACACAACCATCAACGTTGTTTTCCAGAATCCAAGTAATTCTTACTACCTTCTCCACCACAGTCTTGGTCCAGGGTGCCATCATCTTTCACCTGAACTATTGCAGC